AACCCAAAACCCTAGCGACACAGAAAAGAACTACGAACACTGAATCATTGCCAACAGAAGCTTTTGCGCAGACTCAAGCGATAGTACACGGCAGTTAAGTTTAGACACTTTTAGATGACATAACTAAAGCAGCCCTCGGTAACATCAAATAAAAAAAACAAAAAAAAACAAAAAGTTATGCGGGAATTCACACGTGTTTGAAACAAAATTTTTGAAACGACAAGAAGGAGAGTATGACACAAGCAAACGCTGATCTCAATTAAGTCCTTCGAGGTAGCCGGCTTCTCGGTTACTTAACGAAACCGATGACTGACTAATGCATCCTTCTTTTCTTTTTTTAATGTGAAAGGCTTCGACAATTTCTCTGGGTAGTTGGTTTCCATGACGGAAGACTACGGTTGTGTCACTGTACAGTGGTGAGCAGCCACACTGGGAACAGTGTCTCTTTATGTGAGAATGAATGTCAGTTCCTAATGATCGCTTGTGTTCTAAAAGTCGGGTGTTCAAACAACGACCCGTCTGGCCGATGTATACCTTTCCACACGTTAGCGGCAAGCAATACACGACTGATAGGCTACACTTAACAAACTTTGTTGTGTGATTTACCGTACAACTACCAGCATTAGTGTTTACTGCTATGGAAACTTTACGGTCTAGTTTGGAACATATTTTACTAAGCTTGTTGGGTGCCGAAAAAACTAATTCTAGGCCATAGCGATTACCTACGTTTTTTAAGTTATGGGCAATCTTGTGCGCATATGGAACTGACACTGTCTTCTTCCTGTTTTCATTACTTGTCATTTTTTTATGAAAGTTGTTGCGTACGTGACTAATCAGCTTGTTAGCTGATCTACACAACACGTGTTTTTCGTACCCAGCATTTTTTAGCCTGATAATTTGTTGGTTGAAGCTTTCGCTAACTTTTTCTAGACATGACTTTGTTAAGGCTGCTCTCAAACATGAAAAGGCTATGCCACTCTTTACAACTTTAGAATGTGCCGAGTGTGGCTGCTCACCACTGTACAGTGACACAACCGTAGTCTTCCGTCATGGAAACCAACTAACCAGAGAAATTGTCGAAGCCTTTCACATTAAAAAAAGAAAAGAAGGATGCATTAGTCAGTCATCGGTTTCGTTAAGTAACCGAGAAGCCGGCTACCTCGAAGGACTTAATTGAGATCAGCGTTTGCTTGTGTCATACTCTCCTTCTTGTCGTTTCAAAAATTTTGTTTCAAACACGTGTGAATTCCCGCATAATTTTTTGTTTTTTTTAGTTTTTTTTTATTTGATGTTACCCAGGGCTGCTTTAGTTATGTCATCTAAAAGTGTCTAAGCTTAACTGCCGTGTACTATCGCTTGAGTCTGCGCAAAAGCTTCTGTTGGCAATGATTCAGTGTTCGTAGTTCTTTTCTGTGTCGCTAGGGTTTTGGGTTATATATGAAGTGCTGCTTCTGAAATAAAAATTAGTTGCAAGTGTAGCGAGTGTCGTGTTTTCTTGTCCTCTTCGTCCCCGTCAATTTTGCGCTACTACACCATATGGTTAAATGATGTCTCACCAACTAGCCCAGCTCTCAACCCTATTAAATGGCATAAATCGTATTAAATGGCATAAAATCGCAAACGAACGTGTTCAAGTGACACCGATCGGTTACAACGAACAGAGACGGCGCACTGACGATTTCCCGGGAAATTACTTTTAATCACCGATAAGCAACGGCGAAGTGCCCATACATTCTTATTGTTAAATGCCGACTGCTTCCGAAGCCCTCTATTTGTCGCTTTCCCTGACTTTGCTTTGTTACGCACCCCGTCCGCCCTTTGTCCCCCACTACTCTGAGCACCCCACATCGGGAGACGAAGCGCGTGTTTACAAACTGCCACCCAACTTTTGAACAGTCGGCCAGCAAGTATGCCCTCAGTTTTTGATCATTGGTATCGCCAACCCGGAGAGAGCACACCATTTGCCAACATCATCGGCCATCGGCTTCACTCGATCGTTTGCGCCTTGTCTACATGGGTGTCTTGTCGTTCCAGTGTACGCACTTGTGCTACCCCACCAACTTAGACAATTCGTGATTCATTCTGGGTTTAGGACCTGTTCTCGCTCACCTCGCATTCTTCTCAGCATGCTCTCCGCACGTGTTCGGAAGCGTAAAAACGGCTTTTACATAAAACGAAACGCGAATTACCGATATCAGTGGGGCCGCGCAAGTCCGACAGCACCATAACATAATTTTTTTACCTCTAAATGCGCACACCACTACAGAGAACACCTACCACTCTCTCAAGTTTTCTTATGTGCGAGTTGATGAACCTGCAAGCAAGCTACCCGACATAAGTTTCGCTTTCTGACTAGAAATGGGCCCAGAGCATTTTTACGCATGCATGACCACGTTGCGTGTACGCATATTACTCGCTGTTGGTGTGCGTGAGGTCAGGATGGCGGACGGGAGGTTTTTCATGCTTTTTTCTGCCACTCAACAAAATGTCGAAAGTGTGACCGGTCGGCTTGGGCGTAATCTGCACGTTTAATTAAGACTAGGTGCCACGTTGTGGAGCGCTTGCACATATCTGTTGACCGCTCGACAGCCAACTTGTCACTTCGGGTGTCCCTGCATTCAGCTGTGAAGATGGTGAAGGGTTTGTGGGCAGCGAGGGCAGCTACATGTGTGTGAAACTGTTTTTGCGAGGCTGACTTCGTCGACGTCGGGCTCAATGTCGAGCCTTAAGCTTCCAAACAGGACCATCCTGGTGGCAATTCGTGTCAGCGTGTTGTCAACGCTGACACGAGAAGGCGGGACATCTGTTCATTATGGCCGATAATGATGCCGACACCGCGGAACTGTGCTTGCATGAGGGCATTGTGAATGAAGTGCGCGGCAAGAGCCATTTGGAGGAATCAGATGGCAATGACGATAAAACTTTGAAGCCAGTAATCACAAGCATGCTTGTACCAATTGGCAACATTATTAGCCTCAGACAGCTTATGCCACAGGCCTCGGCGAAAAGCATGCTGCCGCGTCAAACTGGAGACCATCCTTATCGCTTCTGCTATTTGAAACATGTGCATCACGGGCTTTTTTTAAGAAAAAAAATTTTGTTTTCCAACAGAACTTTTTTTAAAGCACACAACCTTTTTTTTACTACGAACTTCAGGATACAGTGAACAGATGCCGCGTCACGCTCTGGTTCGTTACAAGCGGGCTCAACCATACCACATATTATAGGGTATATACATTTTAACGTGGGAGCTTCAGGCGGTGCCAGCTGTTGCCATTATGACTGAAGCTCCCACTTTTAAATGCACATATATACCCTATAAAGAAAACAAAGGAACGACCGCCACCATAGCTCGCTGGTAGAGCTGCGGAGGCGTTATTCGAAGGTCGCAGGTTCGGTCCCTGCCAGCGGCAAGTTATCTTTCCGCCTACTTTCCTTCCGTCACATTTACATTACAGTTACTTTTCTATCTTTTTGCCTACTTTCTTTTCTTCAAATTTACATTACAACTACTTCTAATAACATCCCCTACACTTTCCCTGGCATTATTACGATTTCTTCCATCATGTAAGCTTAGGAATAATGGTTATCCTGAGCTTTGGTGAATACCTCATGTGAAAGGCAATGGCAAGCAGCTAGGTGACAATTTCTAGAAGACACTATTCAATAAGCTCTCGTTAGCTTTGAATAGTCACATTATGCTCTTTAAAAGCAATATTAACCTACTTTGAGTTTAATTAAAACCTTGAACTTTTTTTTCATTATGAAAGTAATTATAATATCCGAGGTTTAAAGTCTCAAAACCATGATATGATTATGAGACGTCATAGTGGAGGGCTCCGAAAACTCACAGCACCTGGGGTTCTTTATTGTGCACCTAAATCAAAGCACAGGAGCCTCAAACATTTTTGCCTCCATCAGAAATGCAGCTGCCGCAGATATGATTCAATACTTCAACATTCCGATTAGCAGTCAAGCACTGTAACCACTACACTACCGTGGCAGGGCTCGTCATGAAAGTTGATTGATTTGTGGGGTTTAACGTCCCAAAAACACGATACGATTATGAGAGACGCCGTAGTGGAGGGCTCCGGAAATTTCGACCACCTGGGGTTCTTTAACGCGCACACAAATCTGAGCACACGGGCCTACAGCATTTCCGCTTCCATCGGAAATGCAGCCACCGCAGCCGGGATTTGATCCCCCGAGCTGCGGTCGTCATGAAAGTAGAAAAACCAAACTTGTAAGACTTGTAAAACCAAGTAAAAGCAAAAAAATAAGCAATTTTACCTTACGTGGGCGAGGTTGGGAGACCCAGAAGTATGGCTACCGAAAAACCTAAATGGGCATCTTTAGCAGTGTTTTGTAGCTGGATCACAGATGCATGGGCCAGCATCCCAAGGAACTCCATCAGCCACTCTTTTTATAAATGCAGCACATAAAATGCACTTCGTGTCATCTTAGATTACTTTCCCCAGGGAAGAGGTCTTCGACAAACTACTTTCTGAAGATACCACCAGTCAAAGAAATGACAACAAATTTTGAACAGAAATGAGTTTTTACTGAAAATTCCTCACAACACATGCGGATAAAATCTCTATTTTCAATTTGTGACATTTTCAAATTACTCGCATGTTATGCATGGGCCCATATTATGCAGACCTTTTTGTGGCACAGGCTACAAGAAACCAAGTTCATTATTCTTGTGTTGCAGATTTTAGGAGTTTTGTGCTTAGCACACTCAGAATATCGATCGAATCAACAACAACATGACATATAAGTCAATGATTCAGATTTTGATGCCATTAAATAATGCATGTGCTTGCTAGGACCAGAGGACTTCGCAAATTACAACAGTTTAAAAAACTTTTGCTGCCATGATCAAACCATGCATCCATCAATTTAACTGTAATTGAACTTTGCTCTAAGGATGAGAGGCTAAGCATTTAAAATGAACTGCATTTTAAAGGCACTGAGCAGTGTATACAGGTGTTGCTCACCTGGACAAGGACAGTGCCAGGCTTGATCATAAGCACCAGGGGATTATTGGAGAACTGCATAAGTGCTAGGACAAGGCCAGGGTGATTGGGCACCTCAGACCATTGGCAGAGGGGCTGGGGTGTTGGCTTGCTTGAGGTATTGCTGCTACCCCCAGAAGCATTACCAGCTGACGTGCTGGTAGTGGTGGTGGTGGTTGCAGTACCCGAGAGTACATTGCTTCCTGTGTTGGTGGTAGTGGTGCCCCCTGATCCCCCGTTGCTGCTTGCTGCTGGCTTGAGCTGGATCAGCACAGGGTCAGTTATTTCTGAACTAATTTGAGACATGCATGCCATGAAACTCTTTCCATTGGCATAGCTCAAGAACAGCAACTGCAGAACATGGGAGTAGTAGATGGACACACCACCACCAGCCACTGTACCTACAGAGCCCTGTGCAGTAAAGAAAAACAAAAAGAAAGGATGCACGCAAAGGTAAGAGTCAATGCACAATATATAAATGAGGATCTGCAGAACATCATGCAACTACAATAATTTGACAAAAATCGTCCATTACAACTTACTCTGACAACTGACCCAATGGGTTTCATGGGTGAAATGGGTGTACTGTCTTCCACTAGAACCTAATTACATTATTAACTGTACGTTATGAACAGTGAAAAAGCATGTCCCCTGAAAAGGCATCCCCAGGTAGTTCTGGGCCTTTATTTCAAATCTTGCCCAAAATGAAACTGAGCCAACTACATAAGGGAAGCAAACACTAGCCATAAACAGAATCATAAACAGGACTGACTAATGCACATTATGCCTGCCTAACAGCAGCTGCCAGAGAGCTAGCTTATGTACCAAGCCTGTGCAAGCCCACGTGAAAATAGCATGGGGAAAGTTTAGGTCATAGCCAAAAAGCTTTGAAATTTGTTGTCAGTGAGATTTTCCGGCAGTTCAATTTTAACTGGTCTTAGATCTGAAGGGGTGCTGGTGAGGAGTCATGGAGGTTGGGCTGCACAAAGAGTGGTTTGCGTACACTTAACGTTCAACGGGAGGGAAAATCGGAGTCAGAAAAAGTGAATTAGAGATAGCTCTGCACTATAACAGTTGGTTACATTACACCTTCCGATATGTATACAAATTTTCGTTTGAAAAAAATTGTGGCAAATCTTGCCATACAGATAGGGCAGTCACAACACTTAAAGAACTGGTGTATATTATATACCTCTGGAAATCTTTGCACACAGAGTTCTGAACAGCAGTGAGGATACTTATCACTTTTGCAGTAAATATGCTGCATGCTTTTCCCATGTTTTGAAAATGCAAGGTTGGGCCACAGGCTGTACATAACAAAGTTTAAGACTTTGAAGCACTGCCTACAATTCATGTTCATGGCCAAAAATCCATCAGTTCAGTACAATGACCATTGACAGCAGTACAATTTTGTCACCATGCCATGCGACGTGGCAGCTTTCACAAGCAACCTGTTAATTGCTTGCAGCAACACACAATCACTTTTCAAGGTCAATAAAAAATGTAACTGTGCCCATTTAGTTGATAAACAAGAATTGCATTCTATAATTATTGTTGGGGTTCTAAAGGAGCCCTGACACAAACTTTGTAACTTAATCTTTTTTTATTGTAATGAGTAGCTTATGACCCATTACTCATGGCTGGAAACCTCGTTTGCGTGAGTGCAGAACTGTTATTTATATAGAGAAGTTTCTAGAGAGCCCAGTCACAGTTCTGGCTTCAAAGAGCAACGAGATGGGCAGGAGCACTTCCAGTAGCAAGGTAAACACAGCTGGCCACATGAGCACACAAAGTGGGGTGGTGCATGCAAGAGCATGAACAAAAGCGTGCCGCACTGACAGCTAGCAAAGCCAGCACATGCAAAGCTGCAAACACAGAGTAAAAAATCGCAGGTGGCGCAAGCGCAAAGCACATGCCAGCCACCAGTCAACAGAAACGCATGACGTAGATTGGTTTACACTCTCGCCACATTGTAGTTGGCGTCGCGAGAGGTTTCGCATCTCGCTTAGACATGCGGCACACACTTTAAAATACACTTTAAATATGTTCTAGGCTATATTTGCCCTGGATATTTCGTAGATATGTTTGTCTGAATAAATCTATCTCATTCATTATCTGGCACTCGAAATTTCGTGCCAGTGATCCTTCAACGACCCAAAACCATGATATGATTATGGTGGCTCATAATGGAAAGCTCCAGAAATTTCGACCACCTGAGGTTTTTTACCATGCACCTATATTTAAGTACAGTCAAGTCCACATTTAATAGCCACACTTAAAACGAACGTTTGCTTAAAGGACACTAAATTCAAATAACAATTTAGGCCATAGTGAAAGCTCAATGTACGACAATATCTAAAACGACAACATTATCAACAATAAATAGTGTGCAACTTACCGAAAGATGAATGTATATACACGAGAATACATGCAGCACAAGTAGGACATTCGCAAAATGATCCCAATGACATCATAGTAACCACCTACAATTAATCACTAGTAATTAAACTAGCTGCACTAAATAGAGAACCTTCCGTGCATCAAGAGATATAATAAAATTCTGCTTGTTTGTTTGTTTGATTCATGAAAAAAAAATATCCGCCAGATGTTAAAATAACCACCGGCAAGTGGTTCAAAAGTTCAATTTTCGCCCAGTTGAACTGGACAAGCCGTGTCGTCTAGCAGGGCCCAGTGGAACCAAGCCCGCCTGCCATCTCGGGGGCCATGGCAGGAAATTGTTCAATGGCCGTTGCTGTTGTTGTGGCTCCCACTACTCTCGCTCTGCTGCTACTAGTGTAGCGGCCGCGCAGTAAAGCCGGGCAATGTTGTGCTCAGCAACAGTGGCATAAAAGTTGCCATTCAAGGCGGGTAATTAAAAGTGTGTTAATGCAATGTGGAGCACTAAAACGGGATTTTATTTCAAAATAAGCACTTCTTTGGCACAAAAGTGGCACTGCGAGGTTTTTGGACAACTATTTCAGCAATCAACATAGACTTAATATTCCCCTTTAGCGTCTCTTCAGAATAAACGATACCCACACGACCTTGGAAATATACATTATTTCAATGGCACAAATTCACACTTAGACAGAGTCGGCGCTCCAGCTACTTTCCGGTAAACCACTTTTGACCCCTGATAAGCCATCAGAGAGGTGCCCATAGATTCTTATTGTTAAATGCCCTTCTTATTGTTAAATGCTTAATGTGTAACATCTGTACTGTCAATAGTGACTCTTTCCAGAATATCAGATCCCTGGAGTCAATACAAACATCTGCTAGTAAAATTTTTGAACAGTTATGGCAAAGTACAGGCAATATTTTAATTGCAGCGTCCACATCTAATGCTTCAGCTTATGTCAAATAAAAGCACCACAAAGCCGGAATACTCAAGCTTTATGTTGAAATGTTGAAAACGTTGAAAATGTTAAAGATATTGTAAATGATCACCACATAATTTACCTTGATGTCAGGATGTTGGATGTCAAGAACACTTGTCACGTAGAAGGGCCCATGACGAGCTGAACTCTCCTCAATCAAAGGCTGGCAGTATACATAGCCAGCTGATGACATGAGCAGCAAATGTCGAGGCCCTTCGTCAGGGCACACAAAACAGCAGTCACGCAGACGACCCGATGGTAACAGGAAGAAGAACTGTGCACTCACGGCATCCACTGACAGGTCATACACTTTGACAAAATCAGCAGTCACCAAAGCAAGCTCTGTCTGGGAGCCTGGGAGCCACATGGCCTACAAGCACATGAGAGAGGGAAATAAAAAGCACACCAAGAGTTCAAGGTTCAATTCCATATATACAGCAAAAAAAAGTGTGCTTATATAAGTGGAAAATTAAGGATGGCATATTACTTTACCCACTTCTCTACCATGACACACACACGCAAGCTTTAGGTGATCACTCACCAGACCATTGAAAAATTTCTGGTTATATTCCACAAGAATAAAGTTCAGCGCAGTTGACATTTGGGCTTGTCGGTACAAAACCCTGACAAAAACAGTGCTAGGTGAACTTGGACACAAGAAGAGGACAGCAATAAGGAAAAGGTAGTGCCTGTGTTGCATGTCTTCTTCTCGTGTCCCTGTTCATCCAGTGCTGTTATTGTCAATCTTATGTTGCAGAAGGAAACCAATCATCTTATTGTCAATCTTATGTTACAGAAGGAAACCAATCAGTTTCATTAACATGCAAACACTAGTAGCTATCCATCGTCAAAAGGTATAACAGCTCTATAACAACACCCACACCAATGCACGACAGGTGGCCTCTGGTCATCCATGTGCCATCATAACAGATGGCCACATTACCTGGGTTGTCAAAGCACACATCTTGGTATAATGTTTTCACTGACATGGCGCAATCAGAGAGGACCTTGTCTGCAGCTCTTGTTGCCGCAGGATTCAGTTTATTTTTCAAAAGGCTCTGATAGCTTTTGTGGTGAGGTCCCCTGTGAGAAATTCCCATTACAGAGATGATGTCCTTTAGGGCTGCTTGGCCATTCCCTGTGCTTTGCACGGCACGAGACGCATAGATATTCACTTCAAATGCAGCGTATTTAGCCTGACTGGGTGCCCTCCCAGAGCTCCACTCACTGTCAACAAGTCCACAGTTGCGGCACTCTGAAATCAGCTTCATCGCAAGTACATATTCACGCTCACATTTTTCAATAGAAATGGTCCCACTGCATGTCCGGCATTTAGCCGTTCTTTCAAGAAGCTTGTTTATCGCGGATAAGTCGACGATCCCATAGGTAGCCGCCGATGGGTCCAAGTCCTCGCGTGCTGTCGCGAGCGTTCGCAGTTTGCGCTCGCTCGCCGAAGTTGCCGATAAGCTACTGATCTTATCAGCACTTACTTTCTGCTGTTGCGCACCACCGGCACTCGTCAAAAAGGTTGTGTCTTTCCTTATGCGCTGCCTATCCCCGACGTCGTCCAAGGCGGCCAGGGAAACAGGCGGAGATGTCGGCATTTCATACGACGGATCGTGATCCGTCGCTGCGCCATCCTGTACTAGGTGCGCGTCAGATATACCCGCGCCATTATCTCTTTTTGCCGTAGATTTCTTGCACTTTTTTCCAAACTTGTGAGCTGTGCAGAACTTGCGATACGACTTCGGCATGATGAAAGGTTCAAGCCAGGTTCAAAACGTGGCCGAGAGCGTAGTCCTAACGCACTGGCCCGGTGGCTCCGGAGCCCTTCATCGGGCTGGTTCGGCGGCGTGCCTAAATGTGCAGACTTGAGAAACGCTTCCTCCAATTTATCGCTAGCTCGTGCGGGTTCAGGAAGCCGACGAGAACGACATGTGAACGAGATACACTTGCCGCTTCACGTGCGCTCTACTGCTGCACCCAGCAGACAGCTCGGGAAAACGCGGCCGAGAGCATAGGCCTACCGCACTGTCCCGGCAGCTTCGTCGAGCTCATTCAGCGCCTTACCAGTATACCGTCGAACGTAGAGACAATACAGAGATGCTTGCTCTGATTTCTCGCTACCTCACGCGAGTTCAGGAAGCCGACGAGTACAAAGTGACATACACTCGCCGCTTCGTGTGCGCTCTGCTGCCGCACGCAGCAGACAGCTCGGGAGGCCCAGCGAATCGGAAGGAGTGATTGTCACTTGTGCTCACCGCACCAATAGGCTCACGCGACGGAGCACCTCTTTTTTTTTTTTTCTTTCTTCGGATACGTGGCTTTTGAGTGCGATCACACACATACTTTTGGAAAAGGCGCGGCCTCCCACAGCAGCTCCCGGTCACGACGAGTGCACCATGCTCAAATCAGCGAATGGCTGTGACCAGAGCCATATAATCCTTCTTGACTGTGACAAGTGATTTTTGAGCTTGTAGTGTCATTTGCCGAGAGAAGATAGCAATTTTTAGCTTTGAAAATTTATTGTGAATTACAGGCCACGGGCTGCGCTATAATATTTGCCTCACGTGTTCTCAGTAGCCTCGACTACCGATCGGCAGCGTTTACTGACCATGTTCAGTAAGCGTTGCAAGGCCCCTTTAAATTTAAAGGGGAGCTTCGCAGCAAAGCGAATTTTCCCTGAATACATACTTTCACGATTTAGCACTCCTATATTGCAGTGAAACGACCTTTACAAGCAGTGACATGCGAACTAATATATTAGTTCATTGCGAATACTTCAAAAATATTCGAAAATCTAAATTCAAATTGAAGCAAATTCAAATACACAACTATTCATTCGAATATTTGAATATTCAAATCATTCGAATATTCGTACAAGCCTAGTCACAGCGACCATAGCTTCGCTCGCGGCGGTTGCGGCAAACGGTAGTTTCATTTTTTGTCTGCGTGCTCTAGCCTCACACATGCCTACTAAAATAATTCGCTTGTTGTTATCGCTGATTGCTTCTGTTGTGGTTTTGTCTGCAGTGTTTACAGAAAGAAGCATCACTTTGACTGGGTGAGCGTTTCAGGCTCGTGCACTTTCGGAATTGTGTCCGTTTTGTCGTCGTCAAACAATCGTTTCAAGATAGACCGCAGTTTTGTTGGTCGCACCCATCCTTCCGAAGCTTCCAGTACGTTGCTCTGGGCCACTGCTCGATGATTTGGTCATAAGCATTCGAATTCCAGCCCATTGAACATGGTAGAATGCGGCTGCGAAATTTCGGAAATTTGAATTACCAAGCTTCTAGTGTATTTTCCTATCACGGCTCCCTAATGTGATAGTGCCAATAGTTTCACAAAAAGCCTGGATCGGACTGGGTTTTATTTTGTCGATGCCGCCAGATCATGCGGAGAAATTTCTATTTCCAGAAGATTTTCTTGCCTATTGTACAAACGTAAGCAATGTTCGCAATCCGGGAGTCTTCCAGATAATCCGGGAAACTTGGCAGGTATGTACTGCTCTAATTGAACTGTAGAGCTCTGAAAACTAACAAGAAAGTGCACACAAAACATTTACTAGACGTGAAAAATTAAAACACAGGAAATCCATATTACCACACCCAGGTAAATGTTTACTTGCAACTTATTTTAACATACATAAAAAATATTGATGCTTAGAGGAGAAACTGCACTCCTCACACCTTAAAGTGTGGGCAAAATTTCATGCAAATGAGAATCCCACAAGTACAAACAAAGAAAAAAAAACAGGCAAGCAAGCCGAAAAAGTTGCCAAACAGTGTGTTCTGAGAAAAACAAAGTTTAAAGTAAAAATTTAATGTTTATCACAATAATAGTAATTGCTGGGGTCTAACAGTAACCACCACATCATTATAAGACGCCTAGGTTCTTTAGAAATGCAGGACTGCCGCATGGCATTATCTATCGCACCAACAGGGCAGCATGGATGACAGCAACGCTTATCGAAGAGTATGCCTGCACTTATGGTGACCCCGCTACTAACTGCAGCGGACGATCACCGCAGGTTCACGCTTAGCGAGCCACAGGGCCGCTACTCCGTTTACTCGCGTGTAGCGCACCGCTCCGCGCGCGCTCAACCAATAAGGCGTTTAGCACGGCGCGGCAAACAGACAGTGTTCTAATGCAAAACACAACACTTTATTGCCACTGGCGGCACCCCGAACAACAGTACAACGTCCGCTCCCGGGACGCGGGTAGCAAAGGCACCCGCACGCGGACGTTCACAATAAGGGGAAAACCGCGAGCACTTCGCAGCTGGCAATGGCGAGCTTTGACACGCCGGTCGGGAAAAAAGGTCCCTCGCGGCTATGCTGCGCACTCTCACGATGGCCACTGGGCCTGGTCGCGAGTGTTAGGGCAAACCTCGTACGCGTAAGCCTACGGCAAGTGCGGCTCGTTGTGGTACGACCACTTCAAGCACTAGGCACCGCTCTGGGCTTAGCGTACGCTACCGAAGCTAGCACTCAAGTAAGCACGCCTGCCGGGGTGCCCAAGGCCACCCCGGGCAGGCTACGGTCCACGATTCCCAAAGGGGACGCGGACGAAGGAAAACACGTGCTCACTCGGCGCCGTCCACGGAGCAAAAGAGCGCTCCCTCGGCGCGCGCCGTGCCCGCGCGTGGCGCCATCTATAGCCACGTGGTGTTAACAGAGCAGGAAAGCAAAAGGGTGTGGCCGTGTGGCGGAATGCCCGCGAAATGGTCGCGGGCGCGCCTCAGATCCCCACACACTACAGAAAACAAGATGGCTAAGAATAAAAGGAAAGTCCTGTTCGATTTCAACAATTGCCCAGCCTAGGGCAAAATAAAGAACTTGGAGGCAGTGACAATCGAGTTTCTGTTGGCAAGCATGACATCGATGATACAGCCAATGGACTAAGGTGTCATCGAAGTGGCCCGAAAAATCTACCGCAAGAGCCTGCTCCATAAAATTTTGTTGTACGAAACAGCAAAGACGTGAAACAGACCTGCTGGAAGCAGTGCATCTTCTCAGCAGCGCTTGACAGCAAGTTTGCGCACCGACTCTTGTCAATGCTTTGCGCACCCTGGATTTTCAAGAGGTCATCAAGCTTACTGATGACAGTGCAGCCGAAAGTGATGAGACTTTCCCACAGTATGCACTGTCAACCAGAAAAATGACGGACGCCGAAAACGAACCTCCTCGAAAGGCGCTGACATCTGCTCAAATGAGAAATTTGTTGCATCTGCTTCGAAATAAGGTGGATTGCAGTGGCAGGAAAGATTAACTCATGCAATGTGTCAAGCAGCTAGAGGACACCATCCTAGGCCCAAGTATGACCGCAAAGCAGACGAGCAGTAGGCACTTTTTCTGTGCCTACTGCTCGTCTGCTCATTTTATTAATGGCAGAGTACGTTTTTTGTGTGCAAGTGTTTTCTTTTTTTTACCCACTTCATTCACATTCACAAGAAGAAATATTAGAAGCTGCTGCTGAAGAGTCGGTAAGTAGTGCAGGTTTTTCTGAAAAGCGCTCGATTTTGCTCGCTGATTTGTGCAACTTTGGCGATTTCAAAATTTTCCCTGGTTTTTACAACTTTGAGGTAATGAGGTATTACTTGAGTCAATATGGCAAAAATATTCACGATTAAGAAAATATCACAAAAGAATAAAGATAATAAAGAAAGCTGTTTGCTTTTTGCTACCTTTTTGAAAAAAAGTACCTAGAACCATACAGTTCCAGATATTTGGGGCAGACTGTAAATACAAATAAATTGAAAAATGAACAGTGAGTGCTCTCAGATTACACAGAGGAAAAAAATATTGAATCTGAAAATCTGCCAAAATCTGGCGCAAGAACATTCTGTTACCTTAATAATGTAGTTGCCTGTCTCAAGTTGAGGGTGAAGAACAAGATGCTCAGATACAGATCCAGTGCAGCTGAAGGTCAACACATGGCAGTCCTGAATAAAAGAAAAACCCAAACAATGCCCACAAATGTAAGCATATTTGATCCTTGAACGCATAATGTTTAAAATGATACAGCTGGCAGTACTCCTATAGACACACTCTCAGCAGAATTTTCAGCACCGTATTATAGGCAAAGGGCGATTCTTTTAGACATTGATACAATAAAGAGGGTAAAATAGGTAACTTTACTCCTATCAAAATGCCATTATACTAAAATTTGAAATTTCATGCAGACTACAGTCATAAACATTATTTTTTCACGTGGAGGGTGCTGCAAAAAGTAGGCTTGTGCAAACAGTAAATTTTAGATTCGAAGCAAATAGTGATTTTGCCGTATAATTTCGAATCAAATTTGAATAGTATAATCGCATATTATAAAGAAATTAAGAATATTTGCATCGTCCAACTATCCAGCATGTTTTTTGAATATTCAAGCAAGGTATGTGCAAATGTCATTCTTGGTTCGAAGGAAGTGGAAGCAACTTTGAATAGCAGCAGGATTTGACTAAGTACAATGCAAGTGATAACCTGTACAATATGTTGCATTTTAAACTTAACAGAAGCCCATAAGCCGGTACAACAAGCTTATAAACTAAAAAAAACATCAAATTTATTTGAGGTTATGTTAATCTTCAAGCGGGGCTTTGCAGAGCTGCATATTTTTCCTGCATAGGTGCATTCACGGTATAGAACCCATTCAAAGTGCTGGAATATTCGCACTAGCCTAAAAAAAAAAGACTACGAGAGCAGCAGAAAAAAAAGTGCACAAGAGAGAGGAAGAAAACACTGATTTCAAATGCAAAAGAAAAATGATGTCTTCACACCAACACACGGCAAACATGGCCCAACAATGCACCAGTCAAGCACTTCTTTCAGTGGCCGTATACATGTATTGACCCTAAATGATTGCAGGTCCAACACACTGGAGTAATCAATACACTCGAACTTCATTACAACAAAGTTGAATCTTACACGAAAATAAGTTTTTTATATCCAAATATTCCTTATAAAGGTATATTCTTAATTCTTCATTTACTTCATTATAACCAATATTTCGTTATATCCAGGTTCTGAGTGCATAAACATAACCATCACACCTGCTCTGCTAACATGAATTGCCATTAGACCCTGGGTACTGCTTAGAGTGGCCCAACACTAAACTTTGTGTTGACCAAATCAAGCCGGTTGCTCTCCAGCTAGCCTGACTATTGTACAACATTAACACTTCTAGCAATATTGCATCGTTTTTTAGCTATTCGGAGAATCAAGACATCTTACTGGCGTATAAATTTGCACCTGCATTAATTTGAAAATGCTGAATAGTTAACGTACACGAACCTGCAGCCCAAACATAATGCAGGCAAAAAAAACAAAAGCGGCGTAGTGGAAAGTCGCCAGCCAACTTTTGGGGCATTCTTGTTTATGCAGATTTCACTGCAGTGTGCAGCAACTACACATCCAACAACAGAAATTCTACATGCTTTCTATGCTCCAGGCACATGCGTGGTTTTGAAAACAGTGGCGATAGCGAAGCACCACTTGAGTATTGCACATGCACACCCAAGTTTCTGATGGAAACGCACGTCATCGCTGCTAAATGCAACTAAAAATATTTAGATTCAGCACAAACTGTAACTTTGATCATCCATGGTCACTACCAATGAGGCAGCCAGCACTCATTCAGTTTCCTGTTAAGGTTGTCTTTTTAAAGGAAGCTAAAAGGGCCTCTGGACCACCCAGGGGTCGAAGTTTAGTTGTGGTGTTGCAGCGGTGATGAAGACTACAATGAACACGTAGCAGTGAGAATTTAAGCAAAATGGTACCGTAGTAGCGGAGTTACACGCGTTTGATAATAAAAAAGAGGCCCTTGTGATGCCATTTTCAACACGATGCAAGTGTTTACTTAAGCTGTTTAATTATCATAGGTGGTTTAGGGGCCCTTCAAAAGTCAACTCCCCCCATCCCACTGTACCTCATTTTTCCTACTAAACCTGGCTGCAACAGATTCCTGTTGTCATTAGTTATAATGATATAATTCTCATTGAAATTGAATCTTGTTTTAGGTGGGTTTGAGTGTAAATGAAAAGGAAAAAAACCATCTTGTTGTACCTTTAGTCCACACACTGCCAAAAAGTCTTCATTGCATGGATTCCCAGTGATCGAGAGAACTGTGAATGGAACTGGGGCTGATGCCAGTCTCTGAAAATAAAATAAGCATTGTAACTCAAGGAACCCTTTTCCAAGAATTATGCATTACAAATTACAAACTATCATACAAAAAAGTTAACTGTCTGACATTTTCAGCACTCAGTACATGCTGTAACAACACATCTCTCTCTCTTGAAAGTGAGATGGAAGGACTCAATGCTTGTGCATGACCTTTTCTTTCTCTAAGCATATAAAGGGACACAACAGAGCAAAACGATTTTCCACGTATAAGATAACTACAATTAGAATCTCGAAAACACCACTCTTACCGTGAATGAATGCTTAGTAAGCGAGAAAATGTGAAAAAATAAAATGAGGGTGGCGACACCAACTTGAGATTCCTGCACCAAACACCATGATGTACGAAAATTTAAAGGTGTCTACTGGGCCCTACATAGCTTCCAATCCATAAAAATGAAGTACATTGTCATCTGTGGGTGCCATAGACATATGAAGTTTCAAAAATACATTTTGAAATTTCTTATGTCACACGCAAAGATTTTGATGACATTTTTTTGGTTTTCTCCACTAATAATGAACTTAATACTAAAACATGTAGCATTAGTGTTCTCAGAGTGCAGTTTGTTAATCTGAACCATGTCAGTGTTCCTATTTAGTGTCCCTTTAAGCATTGTTTAGGTGACATTGGTGACTTAATTTATTGAATCTATTCATATTATTCGAAAGTACAACATATTCGAAATTGGGAGCTAGTAGCATAAACCTTGGTAAAAAAACAAACTATATTACTGTCGCATGGCATAAGGCTGAAATGGTACACGAATCTCATACACTCAAACCTCATTATAACGTACCGAGATATAACTAAATAATGGATATAACAAAGTAAATGAAATTCCCCTTGAAAACACTATTGAGAACCATGCATTTTAAACCTTGTTGTAACGAAGTAAAATTGACCGGTAAATGGATATAACAAACTAAATTAGTCTATCAAATAGTCTATAAAAAAAAAAAACGCAGTGCGTTAAGTATATCCTTTTCGGCAGAGTTTGACGCCCGTTCGTCACGGCTCTTTCAAACCTCCCAAGCCGACCTTACAGCTACGCCACGCACGGCTGAGAGAGCTGTCCTCCTCACACAGCCAGCGGAAATGACTGAGGAAGCGCTCAGCGGGTCACATGACCAAGAAGCGGCGCCGCGGTGCAAAGCGATTTTCCTCTCACGACGGCAACGACTGCTTCTCCGCTGCTACCATAACTGCTACCCTCTGCACCGAGAAAGGAGAACTCTCCGCGACAGCTTTCTTTTTACTCTCTCTGCGCGCGTGGCCTTGAAAGGAGAAGGGTCTCTAAGTGCAGAGACGGAAAAGAGAGAAGTGTGGAACAGGCGCGTCGCATATCGGCATTTGAGAGAGAGCAAACAATCCGCCAGTCTTTCTTTCCTTTTCTTCTTTTCCTTATTCAGTGCGCAGGCTTGAGAGGTGCCGCCGCGGGATTGGGCATGGTGTCGAGAGCATTTTCAGAGCGCGGTATGTTCGAATTACCGTAAATACCTGCGTATAATACAAACCCGAATATAATACAAGGCCAAAATTTAGAGGCGCGAAATGAAAAAAAGAAATTGTCCCCGCATATAAAACGACGTAGGAAAGGTAACCGAACACACATTTATTGAGAGCACATCCGCAATATCAATCGCCGTCGTCTTCAACTGCGCTTTCCTCGGACATTTCTTTGTCAGACAAATCGTCAAATAGGTGCTCGTCTTCTGTGCCATTGAAGGCATTAGAGATGCCGCACTCCTTGAAGAAACGACGCACAAGGTCCTCTGGGATGCTTGCCCAAGCGTCCACGATCCATTTGCATAGTGTGGCCGGTGATGCCCGTTTCAGCCGCCCGGTCGGCGTCACTGCAGGCTTACCTGAGCGCATCCACTCGGCGTAGCAACGCTTAACCGCATCCTTGAACGGCTTATTTACACAAACATGAAGAGGTTGCACTTGAGAGATCATCCCACCCGGTATCACGACCAGTTCCGTGCCGCAGTCGCGTAAGAGCCTCTTCACTGAGTCGGCCAAATAGCAGCGAAACGCGTCCAGCACCAGAGTGGAAGGAAACGAGAGCAGGGCACCACGCCCTCTGCACCACATGAACTTTACCCAGTCTAGGACAAGGTCTTCATTCATCCAGCCTTTATCGTGACATCTCACGAGATGACACTCTTCGGTAGCTCCTCCCCTTTCGGCATTGTCTTGCGCTTGAAGACGACATGAAGTGGGAGCTTGTGGCTGTCCGCCGTGCACGATAACATCAATGTGACACGCGTTTTTTCATTGCCGTTGGTACGGACACTAACCTGCTTCGAGCCCTTCCCATGAACTGTAAGGGGCGATGGCATGTCCAGGTAAACTGGCGTTTGATCGGCGTTGCCGATTTGTCCCGGCTGAAAGTTCTGCGAGCGGCGCAACATAATCACATGGCGTTGAAATGAGATAAGAAGCTCTTCAAAGGCTTTAGGGAGCTTCAAATGGAGGTTCGCCGGCGCAGAGAAAATCCGGCTCGGCACATGTAACGGTAGATCCAGTGCTTGCTGGCTTTGAAGTTCAAGCGCAACATCCCCTTTACTCTCGCCAGCTCCCTCGTTTTCATCTGCATCAGCTCCATGTTGACTGGCAAGTGTGCCACCCACTGCTGTCGAACGAACTCTGTCAGTGCGAGTTCAATCTCTGGGAAGGCCCCCCTTTTCTTTGGAGCGCAAAAGCTTTTTCGCTTTCCACTGCACGCGAAAAGCACTTCTTTCTGTCGTTGCCATCCACGAACACTTCCCTCGGTGACTCCGAACTGTCTTGCGACCGCACCGTTGCCAATTTCCTCGGCAGCTGTGATGACCTTTCTTTTGAATGCAGCTGAGTACTGGTTTCGGTGCTCTGGCATATTGCACCTTTGCGAAGTGAGGCTCAGAACACAGCGAGGTTCACACGTCTGCCCATCCACTGTCCAAGCACCCAAAAAACTCAACAACAAAGAGAGAAATGGCGCTAGCGCTCACTTTTGACATGTGAGGGCGCAAAGATAAAAAGTCAAGCCGTAGCCACTCGTAGACAAAACGAAGACGTAGCCAAGCGGCAGTTACAAAACCAAAACTTTAAGCACAATTTCGTTTTTCGAGCAAGTTTTCGTTTGGATCCACACATAGTACGAAGCGGAAATTTGGAACGCTAATATTTGGAAAAAAACCTCGTATTATACGCGGGTATTTACAGTAACCGTTGCAAGTGCTTGCGCGTTCAAATTACAGGGCATTTTCGCCTATTGGAATACACATAGCTTTGACGGAACCTCAGCGTGAGTTTGAATTAAACGAAAGTTCGAATTAATGAGATTCGTCTGTGTTTATTTTTCGCGGCACGCGTGGTCGCGTAGCTGTAGATCGGGCCGCAAGGGGGTTTCTTTCTTTGCATGCTTATAGGTGTGCGCCTATCCGAGCATACATCGCCACAAACTGTTATAATCGTTATAAAGAAATAATGGATATAACGAAATAATTGTGGCTCCCCTTCAACTTCGTCATAACAAGGTTTGAGTGCACTCACACCTCATGTGTGCTTTTCAGTGATTACAAAAAAAACCTGTGAATCGCCTGAAAAACAGCTTAGCTATACACTGAATGATAGTGCAAGTGCTTCCCAAGTACTTCCCTATGTGTGTTGTTACTAAGGAAATAAATGCCACGCCACATAAAATATTGGCCAAGTTCCCACAACAAAGCCTTTACTTTCATTTTACTAAAGTGCATAAAAATGCCCGGCTCTCTCGTACAACCATGCACCAGTGTGCAGCTGTGATACCAAGAAACATTTCGAAACTATGGCTGAGCAGACAACATTAAAAAGGCGACAGATCACAGAGAAGACTTGTCCGGTTAATACCAATGAGTGCGTCTCATGCATCTGTACAAGTACCTGTGATAAGCAAAAATTGGTTCCATGCTACCACATGGAGCCTGTTCTCCATTTGTATGCAGCACATTTGTGCATTTGTGTGCATTTGCCATCGAAGTGTTCTTCGAACTCCCTCTCCTCCGACCATCCAAACGTACCTAGGGTGCAGCAAGTATCATTTTGGGTATATGTGGCGATTTCGAGATTTTTTTTTTTTCTTCAATGGCAAACTTCATCGTTCCGCAAAAGGAATAAGTGGCAGGAAATTGTGGTTCAGTGCATTTGGATCATTGCTTATTAAAAGCATGCAGTATGCTCACAACAATGTCATGTTACTTAGTTACATGTGCTGCCAGGAAAACAGCTCATCCTAATTCTTGTCGTGAAAGAGCTGTGCCACACTAGCACGTTGAAATGTTGCTGCCGTCGCTCTCTTTGCGGTTTGAAGTGCTTATTTTAAACTGATAAAGAGTGCTTACCAGCGCAAATGACAGGGCAGGAAGGGACAGGAGAAGAGACGAGACAGAGCGCTGAACTGCCAACAATTTATTTCTTGCGAAGGTCTTCGCTTTTATACAGTTACCAGTCGCAATAGTCATGCGCGAAACACAATGACAATGCATGAGTACATCACACCGACAAGCAAAAGAACAACTTCTCCTTATCGGTGAGCGCGACAGAAGGGGTGCTAACACAAGCATCTTTCAATGAGCAAATCTTTTCTGCCTCTATGATCTCACGTGTGGTGTGATCCCTGCATCTAGCAACAATAGTACACTCTGAAAATATTGGCCGGCAGCCACACGTGCTGCAGTGAACGGACAGCCATTCTTATTTATAGTGATCCACATTGTACATATGTTCCCTCAGCCTCTCATTTATACAATGACCTGTTTGACCGACATAATACCTTCCACACAATAACAACAGCTGATACACCACATTACAGATGCAATCTCTGAATTTATTTGCATGTTTTGTTGTGCAAACGAGGGTGGGTCTGGACGGAGGAACGAACAGCTTGCACAGGCGACTCAATTTTTGAGGGGCCGTAAAGACCACCTTCACATTAACTCACTGTGCCACTTTCTTAAGATTGTGTGCAATCTTGTGCATATACGGAACCACGGCGAAAGCCTGTCCAATGTTTCTGAATCCTGATGGCAAATGCCACACTTGAAGTTTTGTTTGATTTCAATACAATTCTAACAGTAACCCCAAACAATATGACTAAGCATGTCCATACAAGTCTTGGCCATAGTGAAGGAGAGGTTGAATTGCTACAATTGACCAATTCAGTGGCGTAGCTAACAGCATTTAAGGTGCATATAGGCATATACCAAATGCAAGGCCTGTTGTTTAAGCATCGTGGGAAACAGAGACAGATTTGTAAAGCACTCTTATTTTATTTTTTTAAAATGCTTACGCATTATCATAAGGCCTCATGTGTTGGCAAGGAACACAAAATTTAATGGTACATTGCCACATAAATAAGATATTTTGCTAAAAGTAAAAGGTGAAAGACAATTCATTAACATACAGTGATGCAGAAAAATCGGCACAGTAGAATTTTGATAACTAATTTCAGATGGACTGCAGAATTTTGTTTGAAATATCCAGATGCCTAAAAATGACTTGGCGCAACATGTCAGGAGAAGCACGCTTGGCAGCTTAGAATGTGCAATCCAGCTGTGCTTGTAGATTTGAGCACTAGAACAAGTTCATGAAGACGACTGGCTTTACTTTTGACTACTCTTAAAATATATGAATGCGAATATTCAGCTAGAAGAGGCCAAGGCAAATTGTATTTCCATTTGAAACAAGCAAAAAGTATAAATCAACAGAATTGACCGAATGGTGTGTTTGAATTGAGCAGCATTAACTAGACTAAAAGCATAGATCAAATATATATAGAGGCTCCAGGAACAAGAACGCCATGCTTGAAAATGCTTTAATTGACAACTAAGTTCCCTCTGCAAGGCACAGGCTTACATAAAGCATAAAAGTTTAGCGTAGATAATTAATGAGAAAAAAGTCCACTCACTGAGATTGTTAGCTTGCGTTTGCTGGAATCTGCTTGCTTGAGAAGCGCCGAGAGCTGGAGCAGTGTGATCTAAGTAAAAAATTAAGCATGAAATATGTTTAGGATGGTGTCACTAAAAAAAAACTTTTTGCCATCAGTCCCAGCAGTTAAAAAAAATGACATTCTCTGTGCAAGTGATAACCTGTAAAATACATAACATTTTAAAATTTATTATACTTAGAGTATATAAGCTGATTGATTGATTTGAGGGGTTTAACATCCCAAAACCACCATATGATTATGAGATACGCCGTAGTGGAGGGCTCCGGAAATTTCTACCACCTGTGGTTCTTTAACGTACACCCAAATCTGAGCACATGGGCTTACAACATTTCCGCCTCCATCGGAAATGCAGCCGCCGCAGCCGGGATTCGATCCCGCGACCTGCGGGTCAGCAGCAGAGTACCTTAGCCACTAGACCACTGCGGTGGGACAGAGTATATAAGCTGGCATAACAAGCTTTTGCGCTTTAAAAAAATGATGAATCAATCTGATGGTATTATGTTCATTTAAAGGGGCCCTGCAACACTTTTTCAAGTACCATGGAATGAATTGACTAAAGAAGCGTATTCCCACACAAAATCACCACCACAAATATTTTTAGAATACCTCCAGTACGAGCGGAGGTGAAAATATTTGTCGTGCACTACAACTGCATTTTCTATTCTCTCCACGAAAGCACTGGAAGCTAAGCAGGGTAGATGGAATGGGGAAAGAAAATATGCACACGCGCTTTGAGAGCTCGAGCACTTTCTTCTCCCCCCCCCCCCCCTTTTTGAATACGCGGCTTTTCAGTGCGATCGCACACGTATGCGTGGACAAGTGACGGCCTCCCGCAGCGGTCATAGTAACGACCGAGTGTGCCATGCTCAAATCAGCCAATGGCCGATACAATGGCTACGACGAGTAATTTTTGAGCTTGTGTTGCCATTTGTTGAGAGAAAAGAGCAATTTGAGCTGACTGCGAGAATTCATTGTGATTTGCAGGCCGCGTGCTGCGCTATATTATTTAACTCGCGTGTTCTGGGTAGCCTCGACTACCAATCGGCAGTGTTTTCTGACAGTGCCTAAAAATTTTGCAGGGCCCATTTAAATTTGAAGGGAGGCTTCGCAGCAGAGCGAATTTCCTCTGGACTTGTGCTTTCACAGGTTAGCATACCTACACTGCAGTGAAACCACCTTTACAAGTGGTTACATGCAAATTGTATTTATTATTCACTGCGAATATTTCCGAAATTTTCAATAATTTAAATTCGAATCAAAGTGAATTCAAATACTCTACTAATAGTTTGAATAATCAAATGCTTTAAGTATTCGCACAAGCCTACTTTTAATATATATATATATGTGTGCACGGTAAGCTACTAGATATTAACCGCAGTAAGCAATGAATTTAATAAAGTAATCAATTAACTTTCTCAGCCTTACTATGTATTTGCTGTTTTTGGCTTTGTTAACACACACACACTGGATGAAAATACATTTCAAAGTAACAAATAGTGCTGATGTACGAATATCAGAGATTAAATGTAGGCTTGTGCGAATAGCGAATTTTAGGTTCGAAGCCAATAGTGATATTGGTCAAATAATTTCGAATTGATTTCCATTAGTATATATAACATCTCATGAAGAAAAATGGGCATATTTGTACAGACCCAACTAACCTGCCCAATATTTTTTTTTATTGAAACAAAGCCTGCACCAATGTCATTCCAATAGTATATATAACATCTCATGAAGAAAAATGGGCATATTTGTACTGACCCAACTAACCTGCCCAATATTTTTTTAATTGAAAGAAATCCTACGCCAATACCATTCCTTTTGGTTCAATGGGAGTGGAAACAACCTTGAATAGTAGCAGGATCTGACTTACAGTAAAATGCAAGAGATAACCTGAAAATATTTTACCTATTAAAAAATTCAGTGCACTTAGAGCCTATAAGCCAGTGTAACAAGCTTTTAAACTAAAAAATGATGAATCTACAGATGTATCCTGGATCAAAGAAATTTGAGGTACGTAGCTATATTTATTTTGTGTAATTAATTGCCAAATTAAAAAAAACAGCAGAGCAGTTAAGCGTGACACCCCATCTATTTGTCATTATTGATTTACTGTGCTTCGAAAAAATTTTTTACAACGAAACCAATTATGGATCTCTTCTTTCGACACATCAGGCAACAATATATAAACTTTTGAAAGAAATTTAAAAGGTTGATCAGCCGTGCTTCGTTCGTTTTTGCATAGAATCACCCTACAGTGAAACTTCGTTAAGGCGAACTTCAGACTATTTTTTCAGATTAACTCCTTTTTAAAAAATGCCCCACCAAATGACCATTTGTACATTGGTTTAGTGTAATAATGTTTCACTACAGTCGAACTCCGCTACAACGAACGCTGCTTCAACGAAATTTCCGCTACAACGAAAAATTCACGATTCCCCGTCAGCAGTTCATACGAGTCAATGCATAAATATTGTCACCACAACGAACACTTTTTCTTCGATTGTCCCGCTTCAATGAAATTTTACGATAGGACTCCAGGCTCAGATAGTTATTGCTATGCAGTAAAGCCAATATTTTACATTTCGATGCATTTTCAGAGCCCGCAAATGTGCCAGCAAAGTCTAAAACACGTTGGCTTCACCAAAAACCGCTGCTTTACCGCCGCTGTTCAGCAAGTAAGGGCGCCGCCATCGCTCTATAGCAATGGCAATGAGACTGCCCCGCTTTTGCCACTGGCTCGCCTTTGAGCCGCAGATAATCTGAAGCTGAAGCTCAGTCGTTCAGTTCATGGTTTCCTTCACGCAGCTGCTGGGTGCAACCGCGGAACGTAGCCTTTTACGATTCCGATGCTTATCATTATGTTCTCGCTTAGCCTCTGTGGTAACTAATCAGAGTGGCTGTTCTAATGGCATTATCGACAATATCAGCTAGCCGCGAGTAATGGATGATAAGAATTGCATAGAATAATGCAAAAGTCGACGCTCTATGATACCCTACCTCCATCTCGGCGTTGTCGGATACTTTTGACGGCGGACAGCTGCTGGTGTTAACGTGTCAATGCAACTGTTTGGTTCGTTCACGAAAGCAATTTTAGGCATTGTTTCAGTCTGCTTTTCACCATGGCCTCGCTATGCATGGGAGAGAATCACGTCGTGACGCTGCTGGAAAAAAATAGGAAGCAGCGGACATTTTTTTAATTTTGAGAATAAACATTCCTTTGTTTAGCTAGCTAGATAATTTTGAGAATAAACATTCCTTTGTTTAGCTAGCTCAGATCAGCTATATTATTTTCGATTTCACTACAACTGTCAGTTTCCTTGTAGCGGGGTTTGACCGGACAACAAATTTAGAGCACCATATGTTTCAGATTGACATATTGAATTTTATCCCCCTTATATCTCCACATTTCAAGGTAACAAATAGCTATTTTAAAAAGTTACTTGAGATTGTGGAAATAATGCCCAGCCACTAATGTCGAGCTCGCATGGAGACGGGCAAAGGGGTTGTGATCAAGAGAGGAGAGCAGACTTGCGAGAGAAGGGCAAAGAGTTGCAATAAAGAGAGGGGAGGATGCGGTGGGAGGGCGACTTTGAAAACCAAAACACATGAGAAGGAGGCAGGTTGGGTAGCTTGCTTGAAAGGTCCGCGAGTTTCGCGGACCTTTCGCACACTTGGAAAGAGTGCCTGCGCACGCAGAAGCCAAGGCATGGCCACCTAAATCGGTGCGCGTGGCGGTGTTCGAAGAATCAGTGGCCGTGGTCAAAAATCGTTTTGTAACGCCGGCGGGTTTGCGTGGCCTCACGAACTTCGATATTTCGCAATTCATTCCGTGCAAATTAACAGCCGCTTTCGCGCTTCCGCAAGCGCGCGGTAGGCATGCTGAGCCAAGCGCAAAGTAAGCGAGAACAAGTCCTAAACACGAAATGAATCGCAAATTATCAGAGTCAGTGGGGTAGCGTACGGGCGTGCACTAGACGCAGACTATCGGGTACAGTCGATGGCCGACGATGTTGGCATATGGTCTGGTCGCTCGAGGCCGGCGACGCCAACGACTTCAAAACAGTGGGGTAGCGTACGGGCGTGCACTAGACGCAGACTATCGGGTACAGTCGATGGCCGACGATGTTGGCATATGGTCTGGTCGCTCGAGGCCGGCGACGCCAACGACTTCAAAAGATCGGTGGCAGTGTGAAGGGTGCTCAGAGTAGCGGGGAAACAAAGGACGGAGGGGCGCGTAACACAAAGCAGTCGGGGCATGGAGGGAGGAAACAACTTTCCTTCCTCCATGGGTTGGGCAGAGCGGCAACTAGAGGGTTGCGGAGGCAAGGTCGGCATTTAACAATAAGAATGTATGGGCACCTCGCCGATGCCTGATCAGTGGTCGAAATAAGTTTCCCAGGAAGTCGGCAGACCGCTGACTCCGTTCGCTGTAAGTGATCAGTGGCGCTCGAAGACGTTCGTTGCAAGTGCAATTTGGTGCCATTGAACCAATGTATATTTTCACGGTCACGCGGATATTGTTCGTTAAAGCGAAAGTTCGTTTTAAGTGGAGTCGTTATATGTGGGCTCGACTGTATTATCATCATAAGACTCGCGTATTTCTCTATGTGCCTGTCCTATTCAAATGGGTGATAGCCTTATCGCCATCATCATCACCTGGTACTTGTTTTTTCACGTCAAGCTTCGCCCCGTTGCCTCGATTTTTGTCGGGCAGCTTCACCTGCGCACTTCTTACAGCGCTATTTTCTAGCCTTTTGGTTGGCAGTTCAAGATAAGCTCTGAAAGCAGCATGAAAAAAATGCTACAACTGTGAAAAATGCAAGAGTTTTGTCATTCAGCAGTTGAGCTACCCACATCAAGATAGACCACACTCTTCCTCAAATAAGCGTGCACTGGTTCTGTAATATTTCTAATTTAGTTTTTCGCCCTTATTAGGGCATAACACAGTCACTAATGTATACACAGCCCAAATAGGCGACCCAGGTGGTTGCGTTTACAATTATTGCGCATATTTCTAATACTTT